TTCTTACCAAAATGCAGGGACACTTCTGTCTGCATGCATTACTGTTCTAGGTGCTCTCTTCATGCAATCAGGCACCAACTTTGTAAGTTTTACAAAATGTGGAACCAACAGAAGTCTCGCAGAAGAGCTGTAGCACATCGAGTAATTCATCCACCTTTAGGTTAAATATTCCTCTTTTGAGTACAGATGATGTGATTTGAATGTTGCCAAAATATCGTTCCCTACATGCAAAATGATCAAATTTGTGCATTTCAGTCAAAATGAATAATCATGTTTGTTCTTACACTAATACATTTTATTGACATTTTAAATACAGAAGTTTTTATTCACCTTTTTTGGTGTCTTAACACCTTGTACATGGACACTTTTTTATATTATTTTCTTTCTAATATTTCAGAACTGTAATAAGAGGGAACGAACCTGATTCAGGAATTAAAGTCTTTTTTCTTTCCATTTTCATTCAGGTCTGGAGCAAGCACCTACACTCTTGGCTTTGCCTCAGGAGAAACTGCCTACGCTGACATTAATAGAAAGTGATATAGAGGCAGTAAACTAGTAGTTCAACAGAATTGACAATTCAATTAGAGCTGCTTGTTTGAGATAGTTTTACTAGTCTTTTCTGAGATACTAACAGGTTCTTCAAATATAAGCAAATTTGATATTGGGAAGCAATCTTTTGATGTTTTTCCTGTGAAAAAGATGACAGAGTTTGGTCTAGAGTTTTCCAAAGTGCTGATGTTGAGTGCCTAGTTGCTGGGAAGGATTCCTGTCTTTAGGCAGTATGATACTCCATGAAAACAAAATTGATGCTTTTAATTTGTCCATTATTTTAGCGTTAACTTTTTTTGTTCTTGAAGAGACCCTGGTAACTCTTTGAAGTTAGTCACGCAGAGCCTCTCCTGGAGGAGACTATTTTTAGAAGCTCTTTTCTATGTAAAATGCTAGTGACCTTAAACATACCAATACTTCATCTCTTGCAATGCTAAAAGAAAGCTCTGTCACCATTACTAGAAACTGCCTAGGTTGGCTTATAGTTGAAAGGACAAAACATGAAAGTTTTACTTTTATCTATAGTATTACTAAATATTTAGCAGATGTGCCTTTTGGGTAGAAGGAAGGCCTGCCTGACCTACTTTCATTTTAAACACTGAAGGGGTATTTCATGATTTAATGCTGGCAAAGTTCAGCTGTTACATTTCTGGTGTGAAAGCTGATCTTCTGAGTGTGGGTTGTCTTTTCTTTCTTTTTTTCTTGGAGGGATATTGGTGAGAGGAAAGCAGAAAAAAAATCAATGTAAAGGATTTTGTCTCTTCCTTTCAGGTCTTTTTAGTTCTGTCTTGAGGTATTGGCGTGTTACTGCATTTATGGACTGCTGCGGCAGTAAGTAGCAAGCTCATTTGCATGGCAGCTGGTCAGTTTTCCTTTGCAACACATTCCATCGGCCCCTCTGGTTTTTTCCAGAGTGTCTTTTTGTGGGAAGCTGACTTTCTTCCAAGGAAACAACTTTAATTCTGTTTTACAGTTGTAGGAATGTGTCTGTACCAATTAATATGTTCATATTTTGCCTATTTACTTTTTTCTCACCTCCTCTTCTTGTATTTTGTAAGGTATTTCTCTCACTGTGAAATGATTGCTGTGTAGCATGTGCTCTGGGTCTTCTTGACGTTTGCCAGCATATACACGAATCAGTTCATAAGCACTGTGTCCCAGTGGCTGCTTTTCCTCCTCTTGCATTTTTTAAGTTTCCTCTTTGATTGCCAGTAGAGGTTTTGTGGACACTAAAAATAACATTACCCTTGGCTGCCAGCTGGTTGGTTTTCATTCCATAGTCTTGCAGGTCATGTGTTGAATGCACGTGTAAAAGCTATGGCTGTTGGTAAGGGCATGGTGAGTTTTGGTGAGTGTCGGAAAAAGCCATTAACTGGTCAGAGTGCTGAAGAGGAGACCCCCAACAGAATTGGGTAATTGGGGAGTGGGGAGAGTGGAGGCGGTTGACACTGATGTTAGGCAACTTCAGAGCTTTTGGCTTTGAAAACAGAGATGGGCTGTTCTGGAGCATAATCTGAAATGGACTGTTGCTAGATCCTCTTCTTCCCCTATTTCTGTCTCCAGTGGCAGATGTCTTAATTCCTGCATGAACCATAGTCAGACAGGTAACAATCCAGCATTTTCTTCTAGAGGAAACACCTGCTGCAGGACAGTTCGGACACTTGCGGCTTGTCTCAAGAGCGTGGAATGTATGAAGGCAAATATTCCGATGCTTGTGATGAAGAGTGCTCCACACTGTCCACTGTGTTTGACTCTCCTCAGATTTCCTCCTAAATTCCTAGGCCTGTATAGCTTAGATTATTTTTACAAGAAGGCCATAAATTCCTTGCATTCAGGTCATCTTGTTCATACAACCTGTTCATAAAATTTGTTCATAAAAACGGTGGGAAGATTTAATAACTAAATAGGTGGCCATTCCTTTGTAGAGCTGGAGCTTCAAACTGCATTTCACAGTTTCAGGACTTTACTGGTGTAATTTTGATCCGCTACATCAACTTACAAAATGTCCAAGCTCTTACAACCCCCTAAGATTCAGGTAGCAGCGAGAGGAAGGCTTACCATGGGCTGGCTGCAGGGGTTCCTGTTCCAGCTGCTGCTGTACCGTTTCCGTGCGCTGCCTGCCACCACAGTAGGGCTGGCTCAGCTGTTTGTGCAGCCTTTGCTGAGAGGCTGCAAATGTGTTTATTTAAAAACAGATACTTTAAATAACCAAACATTGATGTCCTCCCAGTATGTAAACTGGGGACCTCTGTTTTGGTACTAACTCTGCAGTTTGAAATCAACGAAACTTCACCCTCAGAAAATAAGCTTTATTTCAGCTGTACCTTCCTAGCAAAGTCTTACTGTTTTGGATAAACCCTTTCCTGGAAGTGGGAAGTGGAAATTGGTTGCTATTCCTCACACCGGGTTGGTAAGAGGAAAGTTAAGCAGCCTTGTTTTGACCTGAAATCAAAAGCTGAACTCTGTAAATTATTTATGAATTGCTTTCCCCTCAAAGATGGCAAAAATCTTACTGTGTGGAAGAGCTTGAACTTTGTTTACATTGCTGGTTGAGACTTCCAGACAGGCAGTTTGTGTTCAGGCTGTGTAGCCACCCCCAGGGCTGTTTGCAACGCGGCAAAAGAGTTGTTGGTTTGTCTGTCAACACTTCTTATCCTGTTCCTCCTTCTGCGCTCTGGAGCAGTTACCAGAAATTCTTGGGTGCTTGTGGTCTGAGTATTTCTTCACACTAAGCAAATGTGCTGGTATTGATCAGGGATGCAGTTAAAGATTAAAAATGTTCACGTTGCTGAAAACTGAACACAAACTTTTTTATTGCATGTGGGAGCAAAAAAGGGACTTCTGTATTCTTCTGAAAGTGTGGTGGAATTTATAGAAGATTGGAATGAGCCAAGAATGGTTAGAGTTTTTAAAAATTATAACCTGTAACAAAATGTCAAAGAAATAGATTTTTGCTAAATCTGGAAAAATGCTAATGCAGGGCATGAAAAAGTGTTCCACCACAAATAGCTGGATGCCAGCTCTGTATAACAGAACTTAGATGTTCACTGGGGAAGGGGCAATAAAGATTAGAATCATAGAATTGTTTAGGTTGGAAAAGACCTTTAAGATCATCAAGTCCAACTCTTAACCTAGCACTGCCAAGTCCACCACTAAACCATGATAGAATGATTTGCAGGAAAGGAGGTGAGAGAGTTCAGACAAGTGAATTACAGAGCTTGTGGAGTTGTTTTCGTTACTGGTAGATGAATGCATTAAGGATACATTAAATGTTGTAGCAGGCTGCCTGTAGCACTTCTTAAATTATAAGCCTGGAGAGTAGTCTTAGAAACCTTCTTAATTTGCTTTCTTACTTCTCTGCTCTTGAAACACTGTGAGGAAAGAAACTGAGACAAGAAAGGGTTGTGCAAGGCAACCTGACTTCTGTAAAAGCTCACATCTGCTAAATCTTACATGGTTAGTGCAAAACTTCCTTTGTCCACACCTTTCAGTCCTCTACTGTTAGCATCTGTAATGTCAAGAGCATTTGCGAGAGGGGACGAGGCCTCGTGGTGACCGCAAGCGGCTGTAGAGTTCCTCTCTTATCCCTTGGACCCAGCACAGGGACGTCTGTCCAGCAAGTGCCTTGGTGCAGACACCAGTGCCATAACGTGGCCAGACACGTGAATCTTGCTTGTTGGGCGTCTGTGTTAACAGGCCTTGATGAATGGACTCGTTGTTGAGGAAGAGTTGGTTTACATGTTAAATCAGTAACTTTATTTCCTTGAAAGTATTTAAATGTGTAAAATGACTGCATATGTGTCTTAGGATTGAGGGAAGGGCTTGCAGATTTAGCTGCAGTGGTTCATGAAGTTTCTGGCAGCATCTTAACTCTGGTCTTTTGTTGGTAGGGGCTGGACGTGGATGCCCACAAAGCCATGGGTACTGCTGCCGCTGCCCACCTGAATCCTTCCAACTCCTTCTTATGTGGTCTCACTCAGGTGACTTTGTCAATTTTGTTGTCGGTAACTTTTTTCTGCCATCTGTAAAGGCATAAAATCAGGCTCAAAATTGAAATTCTCCATTGTTTTGTGAGTAGTTGGTTCTCACTATGTTTCATTATAGTAGACTACTGTGTTTGCTGTATTTTATTCTATGTTTTTGTAATGAAACATACTGTAACTTCCTCTCCCTATGACCAGAAGGGAGAGGGTCAGTAGTTTAAGCAAAAGCTCAATGTTTGTTACCTGGTTTAGGGAGATCCAGTTAACTAAGTTGCTTAGTTTGAAAAGGAGGAAAAGAGATCACTTGATCAGTCAGCAAGACCACATGACAAGCAGCTGAATGTAATTAGGTGGGTAGGGTGGTTGTGTGGGGCTGGCAGCTTTGCATCTCAGTGTGAATTTTAGAGCTATTATTCTGAACTACACTATTTTGTTTTTGTTTTTGTTTTCTCTGCTGATAATACGGGTAGATGAGAAACGGCTCTTTTTGGATGACTATGGTATTCAAGAGATCTGAACTGTGTCAGGAAACTCGTCACTGAAGTACCCTTGGAAAACTACAGATCCATTTGCAGCTGTTAAGCATAGGTATGTAAACACTTTCTCTTTTTTATTTATTTTCACAGATTTATTACATTGCTTTCCTTGAGCTGACAGTTGTTGTATGCCAACTGTTCCTCTGTTCAGAGATTTGAAACAATGTTGCTGTACTTTTGACAAACTGCCTGAAATATTTTGATTTTGAGAAGGTTCAGCATTGCTGCATCCTCATGTTCTAGAGGGAAAAGTAAACTTAAAACTAGGAAGTATACTGGCTTATGTAAAACACAGGCTTTGGGCTTAAATGAGAAAACTGCAGCTCTTTGGTACATTTTCGGTCGTTGCTTTTCTCAAAGAAATCAGTCAGATTTAAAGACAAACCTGGGTAAGTTTATCAATAAGATTAAAAGAAACAACTGCAGTGACCAGTGTCTGGATTCAGTAACCATAAGATGCCCTTTCTGGTCCCAAGTCATCAGCCTACATTTCCTTCTGTGTTAAGTCAAACTTGTTCTACAGTTAGAAGGTGGAATTAGACCTTTGATAGTAAAGTGTACTGCGCAAATAATGTTTCATAATACAAAACAAAGCAACTCAGTATTTTTAAATGTTGTACTGCTTGAACTTTTTCCCCCATTATTCCTGTGTTCTCATTAACATATAAATTATACTTAATAAAACAGTCCTTTAGAATGGTGGTTTTTTTGACTGGGCTGTGCACCAATGTGGTTGTTCTCATGTGTACTAAATGTATTGATGATAAAAGGAATAAAAATGGTGTGTTGGACAGTCTATTAGCAAAATTAGCAAAAGAAGTTGGACTGCAAGGAACCATGAGAGCTCATCTAGTTCACATTCCTTGTTCAATCATATAGTATTGGTTTCAATCTTAAAATTAATTTCACGGTAAAGACAATATGGGGGTGGTATGTTATTACTGTATTTTGTATCTTCTCTGGAAGAAACTCAAAATGTATGTGCCTATCTGACTAGGTCATTCCTTGCCACTGCAAGCATGAATTTGTAATCAGGCATCCTTTCTAGCCCATGTGTTTGCTAGTGTTTTTCTAATCATGGACCAAAACTCCAGTTTTTGTAGACTGTAAGTAACCAAGGGGTTGTTCAGAGAACAGAAAACAGTATTCCCCTCCACTTCTGTGGGAAGGTCACAAGGCTTTCCCAGGGTTTTAATTGATGTCTACCATAGAGTATCTTGAAATGATTTTTCTAGTCCTGATCATCACCCCTTGATTTCTGTTTATGAGAAAGAAGTGACAAATTCATAAATGTAGTTAAATAAATAAATAAGTTTTCTTGCTGTTTCCTTATAGACATCCTCAGTGTATGAAAAAGCTTATATAAAATAACTGGGAGAAAGGATTTTTGTGAACATTGATGCTTAACTTAGTGGGTTTTTTCTGTGCTGTGCTGGATGGATCGGTTGTCATAGTTGCTTCATTGTAAATTACTGTTACATAATGCTTTTCAGTTACTGCATTACATGTGCATTTTGAATGTGTGGTACAGAAACAATTTCTAGCACATTTTAGGGTAGTGATTTCTAATAGCCTAAGTTATTTGAGGATTAAATTTTGATAATGTTAGGATTCTGTTGTATAGATCAAAACAATATTCTAGGATGTGGTGCTATCCCCCTTTCCCTCACCATACTCCCAATGGGTTTTGGTATATTTGCTCTTTTCCACCATGTCTTTCGTTTACAGCACTATCTTAAACAAAACACCCTTAGTAATTAAGCCTGCTAAAGACAAACTGGGAATCTAATTCAGCTGGAATTCTTTAAACATGTCACTAAGAATGGCATCAAAGAGAAATTGTATATTTTTTTTTGCCTTTTAAAAAATAAATTGAAAAAAAGAAGACCGATGATGGAAAAAGAGATGGAACATATCCTTGTGGAATGAGGGAAATAAGCTCTAGTAAAGGGCAATAGAAATAACTTTTTAAGGAGAAAAAGTTGAGAATAACTTTTCTTTGGTCTAAAATGTTTGGCTTCATAACTAGGAAATAATATGGCTTCATATCTTGGAAATAATATAGTTTCTGCTTCTGAATTTTGTTTCAACACTGTGTCATAGGGATAAAGTTTCTTTACAAAAGAATGCATTATGAAAAGAACGCATTATTTGATTCATTATGGTGCAACTCTTGGTATCAACAAAAGCAGAACTTGGTGAGGTGAGAATTCTCTGGGAGTATGTGGGTTGATGTATGTTAGCATAGCCCACAATAGGCACCGCAGCTGTACTGATTAGCGCTAACTGAGGTTTTCTTTCTTCACATACTAAATTTGTTTGTACTGGAATCTCACTGCTGGATTTTTATTTCCTTCTATAGGAAATCGTATGCACTGGTTTAAAATCAAATCAAACACTTCAAGCCAAAGTCAGTCTTTTAATAGAAGATGGAACAGCAGCTCCTACTTTAATGAGTTTTTTCAAACAGAAACTCTTGTTGGACAGTACCATTGCATACTCCCCATTTTTTGTGACTTGTGCACAGAAGTGCGTAGCTGAATAGATTCTTTCATATCTACTTACCCTTTATATCCTGTTTTTCATTTCAGAGGTTTGATGCCTTTCTCAGTCATAATGTAGAACATAAAATATTGCAGATCGTTATATGGTTTGTCAGCTTGCGTGAGATTTTCGGATTCCTCATAAGCATGCAAAGTTTTATACTTAGTGTTGAGTCAAGAAAGAAGTCTGAATCCACTGTGGTATGAAAACTACATATGTGTTTTCTTGATGCAGTTTTCTACACGGAACTTATACTGCTTGGATCAATTACAGCAGTCTGACTGGCAATTTATTTTCTTAGAATAACTTAGTGTATTTTTTCTGGAACTTGGGTTATAAAGGTGGTTGTTTGCTGCTGCTAAGCCATTTCTTAGCTATAGCAGAAACATTCTGAATAATAATTTTAATTGAAGACTTCTGGGAGGAGAGGTAGGAAATTGCCTGTTACTGTAGGTCAGTTGAAGTGAAACTTGAGGACACTGTATATGTGCATGAAATGTTAAGAAAGAATTCTGCAGGAAGGCATCTACAGCATGAAAAGCTGGCAACAGCTGCCAGGTTTCAGCCAGGGGTGTTACGCTACAGCCACCTGGGGGCCCTCCCTCAATCTCAGGAATAGCTAGAATTAATAGTATGGGCAAACTGTGGCATTAGACTTGCGATTCTTTTTGCTTTCCATGCAGGGCTCATGCATACCTTTGTGACAAGAATTAGTGTAAGAAATGATAGTTTACTGTGCTGTTTATCTGAGTAGCCTTTGCTGTATATCAAGATTTAACTATCATTCATGCTGTAATATGGAATTTTGATCAGAGTAGCAAGATAAATAGAGTTGGAAACTCAGGTTGAAAAACAGCAGGCTTTTTGAATGGGAGCTTTGTGTTGTGCAGTTCAGCCCGCTTAATCGGTGCTTCTTTTGAATTATCCCTTCCCTGAGGCTCTAGAAAAGAAGCCGTGCTAGGATACGAATTGAACCAAATTTTGCCAAAGCACTGTCTGAATATTTTGGCAGACTACAGAGCCTCAATAGAAAGCTTGGACAGTGTTAATACGTGCTGCAGTTCTGGAGCTGTCGAAGTGGAAGATTCAGTGACTTGTTGAAAGCATGGGCTTATTTTTTCAATTCTTGCGAAAACAAAAAGAACCTGTAGTTTTAGCTTTGCTTTGTTAGAAGAGTTGGAGTGGTACATTTAAGCCACAAGCATGCTCCAAAATGACTCTTGCTGTCAAGATTTCTGCTTTGCTGTTGCACGTTCGTAACTTCCTGAAGAGAACAGGTCATGGCCTATTGAATACTGCTTGGCTCTATTTCAGGCAGAATTGGTGTTTTATTATGTAATGGACAAGTTAAATTATGCCCAGAGTATTCTCAGCAAGTTATTTCTAACCTTTTCATAGCATTTATGAAACATGAAAGCATCACATATGCTTACTACTTCCAGACATGTTTACTAAAAAATCCTGCCCAGTACTGGCAGAAAATATCTTGCTCAGACTGTAGCTATTACAGACTCTGAAATCAAAGACTCAGTCTCTTTTTGAGACCTCTTAAGAGCAGATTATTCACGACTGACCCATCTCTCCATTTCTTTGAAGTGTCATGCTGCCAGCCTGCAGTGCTCTGACTTTGCAGTGGTTGCCAGCATGATCTGGAGTAGGCCCCGTGAGCTTGGCACCTGCAAGGATGCTTCTGTCAAGATTTTATGATTTTTAAAAGTTTGGGAGAGGTGAATGCTAGCTGTGAGCCTCAGTTTTATCAATCTAGATACGTCCATCTCTGGCCATGTGCACCACTTCCCTGCTTAGCATCTCTAACTGTCCCTTGTATTTCAAGTCCAATCACATTGGGTTTGAGATTAGGGAGCAGAAGGAATAATCTTTTCTAGTTAGTAGACAGGGTTTTTCTCAACTGATATTTTTGCCTGTTTTCCCACAGATAACTATAAATTTATTTTGCCCTTTTTGCTAGATCCATTTAAGAAACCCTTCTGATTTAAATATTTCCACAAATAACTTCTTCTTATTCCTAATGCCATGCCCCATATTCATAGATAGTAGAGATTTTCCAGCTCATTGGAAATGGATATTGATTAGTTATTCAGTCAATAACTTTGATAACCAGTAAGTTCTCTGAGGAACAGGATGTTTTCACTGGAAGTGTGATCTGGTACATCAATCCTGCTCCAAAAGGCCACGATGCCTTGTGGTTGGCCGTTTTCATTTGGCAAGTGTAGACAGACTAACTTCTGATAGACTTAAAAATCTTTGGATACTCCAATGTCATCTAAATAATGAGAAAACTTTTAACTTCCTGAGGAATAAATAGCCAGAACAAAATGTAGGAAATGCTATATACTGTGACCTCTTGGTATTTATTGTTGAACTAAATCGAGTAACTTGCACCAAAAGTAAGGGCAGATCACAATATTATAGAAAAGCAATAATGCTGAAGAATGGTAGCAGCTGCAAAAAAGAGTAACTTTTGTTGCCTCTTCCAGTCAAAAACCA